GGGGCAGTTCTACTCTGTCCTGTAGGGTTGCTATGAGTCGGAATTGACTCGATGGCAATGGGTTTAAGAGAGTAACGTTGGTACATTAGTTTTAACTAAACGCCACACTTGTTTCGGGTTTCACCAGTTTTCCACTAATGTCTTTTTTCTGTGTTCCAAAGGATCCAATCCAGGATACCACATTGCATTTAGACAAACTTTTTAAAAATTAAAATGCTTCAGCTAGAATTACAAGCTAATTCATTCTCATGTGATAATGATGTAATGATCGGAAGAGTTACTGGATATTGCTTCCCTTTTCCTGTTTGAGGAGTTCTATACTTGGTATTTGGGTAGCTCCTGAAAGTCAAGAGATTCTGATTTTTTTCAGAAAATAATGTTGAGTTTCCATGAAGAACAGGAAGTATTGCCAGAAACTTTCCTTGCCAACTTTCCTTCTCTGATAAAGATGGATATTCATAAAAAAGTAACTGATCCAAGTGTGGCCAAAAGCATGATGGCTTGCCTCCTATCTTCACTCAAGGCTAATGGTGAGTACGTATTTACAGAGTTGCTGGTGTTTGGGCAAGGTGGGGACAAGACTATATTACAGGATAAAAAAGGAAGAAGAGTGGTTTGGTTTCTAAATAGTGGTGTAAGAGGGCCAGATAGTAAATATTCGAGGCTTTGAGGGCCACGTACGGTCTCTGCTGCACGTTCTTTCTTTTTCGTTTTTTCAATAACCCTTTAAAAACATAAAAACAAAACATTTTTTGCTGTTGGGCCATACAAAAACAGGTAGTTTGCTGACTCATTAGAGGATGCTGTATGTGCAAATGCTCCTGGTTTATTGTTGCATCCTTATATTATTTGAATCAGTGGTGTTCCTCTTATAGAAGAATTTAAACAACTATGTATCTGTGAAGAAGCACAGTTCTCAGTGTTGTGCTTGGAACTGAATCACGTAGGTATGTGAGGTGTGTCTTAGAATGTACAGCACATTCTGCTTATATTGGCTTGTGACATATGCTAGAATAGGCTCTGCCCTCTGGGCCCTTGAAAGGCATGCACCGTATATGTTTTGAACTGAGGTGTTCTTTGCCTTGACATTCCCTTCCCTGAGAGATTTTTTTTTTTTCCTGAGGAAGAGCTTCACTCACTGTTGAATATTAAACTCATTGACCTATTGCTGTCGAGTCGAATTCCGACTCATAGCGACCCTATAGGACAGAGTAGAACTGCCCCATAGGGTTTTCAAGGCTGTAAATGATTATGGAAACAGACGGCTGCATCTTTCTTCGACGGAGTGGCTGGTGTGTTTGAATCACCGACCTTTTGGTTAGCAGCTGAGCACTTAACCACTGCACCACACAGATTAATCACAATTCATACCCACAGTTCGTACTACTAATTAAGTGACTTATTTACATTTTGAATATCTTTTATTTCTAGGCTCCCGGGGGGCTTTCTGTGAAGTGAGACCAGATGATAAGAGAATTCTGGAATTTTACAGCAAGTTAGGCTGTTTTGAAATTGCAAAAATGGAAGGCTTTCCAAAGGATGTGGTTATACTTGGCCGGAGCCTGTGACATTTATTGGCATTGTGAACTGTCCAAAAGTCTCTTAACTCCACCTGGTAGGTGGTGGTTGGGGTCTTCATACAGTTCAGCTTACGGAGTGGCAACAAATCGGCTAACTGGATTGGAAACAAAGAAGACTATATAAAACTGACCCATCACACATTCAGACTACTCACTAGTTGGAAGAAGATAGTATTGCTGCAAATCCTGTATGAAACAGGTGTAGGCCTCCTTTTTGGGCCTTCTGTTAGGTGCCAAGACCTCTTACATGGGCTTATAGGGAAGGGGTCTTCAATAAATGTAGTCAGCACTGTTTTCTGCATCCAGTGTGGTTGCATTTCTCACCTAAGAGTAATCAAAATCACTTCTGTCATCCTGTTCAGTTTATTGAGTGGAGTGTCTCATTCTCTGGGGACTTGGCAGAGATGAGAAAGACTTAATGGGTTTTGGAGGCTTCCGGGTGGAGATTCCAAGTGGGATGGTTGTGGCATTAGTTTAAGCTGAGTAAATGATTTCAGTTTTTGGCAGTTTTTCTGCTTTTTGTAAAGCCGTGGCCAATTATCTCCTATAGTGACCTTTGGTTCAGGCGTGATGTGCTTTGTAGGGACAAATGTGCAGTTGTTTGTGGCAAAAGCCTCAAAATGACAAACTTGTAAATTTGTATATAAACCAGCTATAACCTGATTATCCTTGTGTTTACTGTTTTTGTAATTTTTTTTTCTCTTAAAAATGAAAGGGTGTTAGTTCAGGATGGCACTTTGAATAATGTAAATCATAGTGGAAAATGAATTTGCTTCTATATTTGTGGGTTTTTTTTTTTGGGGAAGTTTTATTTTTTAAAGTGCCTCCCACCTAGGGCTAGGCTATGACCATTTGGGGTACGAGAGCCTAACTTCTGTAAGTAGGACTCAGTCTGTTGCAAAGTACAGTCACTTCTGGAAATTAACCTCAGTGGCAGGTCAGCATGTGAAATGTTTTGACACTTGTCAAGTAGAGTTCAGGGACTGATTGGTCTCATTTCCCTCAGATCAGTTGTCCTTTGATTTCAAGACCTGTTAGTACTGGTTTTATTAAATCAGAGTCTTTAATTCTTGCATGTTTGTATTTAATTTTTAAAAGAAACAAAGAATGAGCACACTTTAACCAATGCTTTATGGTTACCCCCCCCCCCTTAACCACTAATTCTGAAAGCCTCATGTGTTTTAATTTGGACTTGATGTTTTTAAGGGGCCTGAGCATGAGGCTGGCAGGTAATCTCCATAGGAATCATTTTTTCCATCATGGCTGGCTGACGTTTCCATAGATTCATGACAGCATTTTGTTATCTTGCTTCCCTGCAATTTTGCATCAGCTGTTTAACTTTGAGCTGAATGAGGGGAAGAGGCAAGGAGAAGGAGAAGTGAGATATTTTCCTTCATAGAACTCCCATCAGTGTGGGCTTTGAGAGAATCTTAAAGCTTTTTGCCAAGTTTGACTTCAGCCAAGGCATGAGAGTGCACTGAATGGGTGAGAAGGGAAGGAAAGAGGCCTTTTCATTTTTAGAGTAGAAACCTCTACCTAGTAGAAAGATAAGGTATGTTGGAAAGCAGGAACCAAGTTGGCATTTTCTAGCACTGAGAGGAAGTGAAAAGGGAATATCCCCTACTAGATATTGTTTCCAACAGCTGAATATCACTCAGTTTTCCTTTTGAGTGTATCTCATACACTAGTGGACAACACTAGCATTTTATCTGGACAATTTTAGAGTCAACCTCCTATGGAATCAGGATTTTTATCAGGTTTGCTTTGGCTTTATTTTGGCTTTTAATAATCACTTTGGCCAGTATTCTGGTCACAGATGCTAAACTGTGAAAACAGATGTCCTGGCCTAAATCTTCATCACTCTAAGGTAGTAAAGTGCTATGCTGACATCTTCCATGGTTATGCATTTTTATTAAGTTTGGAATAACACTTTTATTGTTTAGACCACATCTCAGTTTCTGTAGAAAACAAACTGTAAAACTATCTGAAGACCATGCAAGAGGCAAAATAAAACTTGAAGTGAACATTTGTAGTGTTGTATTGTGTGAACCTGCTTCCTGTTTCTGCCTCGTACCTTTTTTCAGGTCCTTCACACCTTGCCTACAAGCAGGCATTACTTATTTCCACAGCTGTTTGAAGTTTGGGACTGGATTTTAAAGGCAGCCTTCCCCACTCCGATCCCTCTAAAGGTTTCTTTCAAGATTATCCTCATGGCAAAGGCACAGCGTGAAAAAGCAGACCAGTTCTTGGCCAAGCCACCTCTTGCCACAATTGTAACCTGGGTATAAAATAGGAAAGCTAGTGAAATAGTATCTGCTATCTAATATGATAGGGAACACAGTTTGCCTGATTCTTGGTCAAAAGGTAAAAGGTGGGGGTGGGGTGGGGGAAGTACCCCAAATTGTGTGAGATAGAGAAGAATCCAAGGAGGAGGAATGTGCTTGGGCTGTTTTGGAATCAAATTCAAAGAAAGTGTAAAGAGTGGTCTGTTATAGCAGCAGTTTGATCCCACGTCTGAGCTAATTTACAGTCTGCTAGCAAGGGCAGCATTATGATGGTTAAAGAAGACATAGTTGTAGGGGCAAGTGTGCTATAGAAAGTTGCAGGGTCATTGGGGCAGGAAGTGTATCTAGGAGATGCTTAATCTAGGAAGATGGAGGAGTTTGGGGTGAGTTTAAGGGGAAATACCTGGAGTGGAAAGTCTTCATTCAGGCTCCTAGGCTTTTCTTGGGTCAACGGCTATGCCAACCACAAAGCTGTGAGCGCATATCCTTTGCTTTTGTAAGAACTCGGGCTGCACTGAAACTGGCCTTTGCTAGGGAAGGGAGTAGGAAAGGCTTCCTTCCATTCCTCAATTAAGCACACCCTGGGTTGGAAGAGCGGGCGACTATAGAGGGTGCTAGGAGCAGTCAAGAAGTCAAACGTATTGCAATTGCACTGGGCAAATCTACTGCAAAATAACTTTCAAGTGTTAAAAAGCAGAAACGTCACTTTGAGGACTAAGGTGCGCCTGACCCAGGCCATGGTGTTTTCAATATGCGCTCACAGCTTTGTGGTTGGCATAGCTGTTGACCCAAGAAAAGCCTAGGAGCCTGAATGAAGACTTTCCGCTCCAGGTATTTCCCCTTAAACTCACCCCAAACTCCTCATATGCATGCGAAAGTTGGACAACGAAGACGAAGAATTGATGCCTTTGAATTAGGGTGTTGGCAAAGAATACTGAATACACCGTGGACTGCCAGAAGAATGAACAAAATCTATCTTGGAAGAAGCACAGTCAGAATGCTCCTTAGAAGCGAGGATGGTGAGACTTGGTCTCACATACTTTGGACATGTTATCGGAAGGGACAAGTCCCTGGAGAAGGACATCATGCTTGAAAAAAGTAGAGGGTCGCTCTGAGTCGGAACCCACTTGACAGCACTTAACGAGGAGCTGGAGAAAATGGAGGCAGGAGCCCCCTTTCAGAGAGCCTTGATCATGGAAATAAGCAAGGACGTTAATATTAACCCGAAATCCCTGCTTCTGTGATGTTACGCCTTCTCCTTGTGGTCTTAACATACAGGCCTGAGCAGAAGCCTCCTGGGTAGAGAAGCCGGGGACCGGTCCCGCTTCGGTCCCTTTTCTCTCTGTCTGAGCGTCTCCTTTAAAAGGCGGGGCCGGAACTGGCAGTGTGTCACTTGCTTTGTACGTGTCGGAGGCGGAGTTTCGAGAAGGTCCTTGCACCATGGCCGTCGGCACCGGCGCCGCCTTAGCGTTTCTGAGCCAGGAGAGCCGAGCCCGGGCAGGGGGTATCGGGGGCTTGCGCGTCCCGGCCCCAGTCACTATGGACAGTTTTTTCTTCGGTATTGGGGGAAGGAAGGGATGAGGGTGGCGCTGAGGCGGCCTAGGTAAACGGTTGGGATGAGGAAAACAGGAATCCATTTGGGTGCACGACGTGGGTGGGGAAGGAGGGCTGTCTTGCTGACCTTGACGAGAGTGGGCCCCGCACGCGGATGCTCGCGCGGAAGGAGGCGGTGGGGCCCAGTCCCAGATGTGCGGCGCTGGGCACAAGGCCGAGCGCCCCAGGTGTTCCTGAGAAGCGACGTCTGGTGGGCGTGTAATGGCCGGTCAGTCGATGGTTGCACGTGACGGGGGTTTGGTGAAATGTTCCTGCCCCACACGCACACTTCTCTGTTATCTCTCCCAGGTTGTGAGCTCTCTGGCCACACCCGCTCCTTCACCTTCAAGGTAGAGGAAGAGGATGATGCCGAGCACGTGCTGGCCTTGACCATGGTGAGGGAAGGGAAGGAGGAAGGGGGCGGGCACAGCGAAGAATAGCTCAGCTTGGGCCTGCCTCTCCCCCCTCCCCTTTCCTGGGAGTCATCTCCTCTGCCTAACTCCTACGTGGGCAGCTCCCTTGGCGTGGTTAGCCAGGCACCTTTGAGTTGAGGCAAGTTCTAGGGGAGATGGCTCCACCTCAAGCCTCGCTTGAGGAGATGCAGAAGCCCTGTGTACCTTTCCCAGCTCTGCCTCACCGAGGGGGCCAAAGATGAGTGTAATGTGGTGGAAGTTGTGGCACGAAACCACGACCATCAGGAGATTGCAGTCCCTGTGGCCAACCTCAAGTTGTCCTGCCAACCCATGGTGAGTTTCCCAGCCATACCTGTGGGCAGGGGCGAATTATCCAATAGGCAGAGTAAGCACGGTGCTTACCTTGCTTACCAGACCATCTGTAGTGAACAATTTCACATTTTTTTCACTGCATCAATGATTCTGCTTCTAGGTATGGCTGGCATCTGTCTCTCTCCCAACCCCACAGCATCTTCTTACAGAATCAAAGCCTCTTTTTAAATGTACAGTCCCTGACAGGGGTGGATGATCCAGTAAGCAAGGTAAGCACGGGCTTACTTGTGCTTACTTAATAATCTACAGTGAACAATTTCACGTGTGGAATGTTCACTACAGATGATCTGGTAAGCAAGGCAAGCCCATGCTTATCTTGCTTATTGGATAATCCGCCCCTGCCTGGGGGTTAGGTTATGTTGGCCGGAGACTGAAAGCTTTGGGACTCACCACCAGACAGGGTGGGGACTGGAATAAGCCAGGCCTCTATCCTTCTCTTCCTCCAGCTCAGCCTCGATGACTTCCAGCTCCAACCACCTGTAACCTTCCGCCTGAAGTCAGGCTCTGGCCCTGTGCGGATCACTGGGCGGCACCAGATTGGTGAGAGTGAGAAGAGGGCCTTCTCCTTTGCCTCCAGTCCACTCCAGACCTCCCCACGCTCCTTCCCCATTCCCACCTGATCTCCCAGTGCAGTCCCCATACAGACCCTAGGTGTTCCCCTCCCCCAGGCTATGCCCCATGCATCATCTGCCCTCCACTCTCCTGCCCTACTCAAGCCCACCTCCTTCATGGAACCTGGCCCAGCTTCTGCTCCAGTGATGTGTACTCTTAGTTCTTTGGCACCCAATTTGGTAGCTGAGACTCATTCCACCTAGACTATAAGCTATAGGTGGTCGGGATTCCCGCAAGCCTAGCACCACAAGGCCTATAATCAAGAATTGCCCAATGAATGACGTGGTATGAAAGAGGAATGGCTTCAACCTTCCTCCCCTCCCCCTTATTGCTTGTGTATCCACCAGTTACTATAAGCAATGACGTTTCTGAGGAGGAGGAGAGTGAGGAAGAGGACAGTGAGGAGGAGGAAGCTGAGTTGTGCCCTGTCTTGCCTGCCAAGAAGCAGGGCGGCAGGCCCTAGCCCTCCTTGGTGAGTTGGGGGGAGGGGGGTGGTACGGGCTGGGGAGGAGGCAAGAGGAGCAGGGAAGGGCCTAGATGTTGAGCCCTTGTCTGCTCTCCTCAGGTCAGCTAGCAGCCTGTGACTTGTGCTATATACCGTGTTCCTGGACAAGTCTCAAGAACTTGAAATGTTTCTTCTTCGTTGAAGAGGGGAACTTGGGGCAGGGGGTGGGGGGTACTTGGGCTGGTGCTAGGAGAAAAGGAGGCCCATTCTCCTTAGGGCCCTGTTTTAGACCCAACCATGTCTGGGGCTTTCCTTTTCTCTAGGGGTGGGAGGAACTCAGAACTTCTATCCTGACCCTCTCTGCCCCCACCTTCCCATGAAGATTGGAGGTCAGTAGTTGAAGCTCAGGACTACACATTTTTACCCCTTTTTACATTTTTGGATAAAGGTTGAAATAAAATGGCATGAGTTTTTTTGCATATCATCTGAGTGGATTCTTCCTGTGCTGGGATGACATTCCCCTAGGGACCACCAGGTGGCACTGTGGCAGCACCGAGGGTGGCCCTGGGCCTGGGGGAGTATGGGGAAATGTGGGATCTTGCTCTCCCCAGTGCTTGGGTCCTGGGCCCCAACTCCCTTGCTGGAAGGGGACCTCCCAACACCTAGACCTTTCCCAGTCCTGGGAGTGGGGGAGGGCCATTCCAGGAGGTTATCAGTGTCCAAACAAGGGGTCTGGGCCTCTGTCAGCACTCAGGCTGATGGGCAGGGGGCAGATAAGGGGGCTTAAGCTGCTTGAGGAATGTGCATCCCTAGCCAGATGAAGGGGGCTCAGGCCCAGGGAGGGCCTGTGAGGGGTCCAGTGGGGCCAGTCTTTGCTCCTCCTTTGAGTCTTGCAGGCAGTCTTGAGCAGGGCTGGGCGCTTAGAAACCTGATTCCGGGGGCCAGATGGAGGGGGCTGGCCAGATTGGGTGACAGAGAAACCAGAATCTGGGTGGCCTGGCATATGGGGGCAGAGAGGGGCTCCTGGGAATCGGCCTCGTGGGCTAAGGGGTTCCAGCACATCGCCTGGTCTGGTGGTCTCTGGTACCTGGAATCAGGTGGTTCTGGGCCTTGGCTGCTGCTGTGCCAGAAAGAGAACTGGATGTACCTGATGTGCTCTAGACTGTGTGTGACCAGCCCCGAGGTCAGCAGTTCAGCTGTGTTGATGAGGGGGATGTCGATGCCCAACAAACAAACAAAAGGTTACCTCCTGAGACAGCTAGGGGCCAGTCAGGCTAAGGATGGACAGAGACCAGGGCCTGTGGGGGACAGGCTGCAGTGCCACTAAGTGAGAGGGGGACCTAGATAACTGGAAGGGACCAGTATTGGTAGGCTGAAGTAAACTGGAGGGAGTGTCCCCACAACATGGAAAAGGCCTCCCTCCTCAGCAGGCATCCCTGGAGAAGGAGGTTGCCTTCCTGCACCCCATTCCTCCCTCCCCCAGCAGTGGTGATGGGTGGGGGTTGGGGGCCATATTTTCAACCTCCCTTCTTCCTCAGGAAACCCTGATGGCGTAGTGGTTAACTGCTACGACTGCTAACCAAAAGGTCGGCAGTTCGAATCCACCAGGAGCTTCTTGGAAACTCTATGGGGCAGTTTTACTCTGTCCTATAGGGTCGCCATGAGTTGGAATCTACTCGACGGCAACGGGTTTCTTCCTCAAACTGAAGACCAAGGAAAAAGACCCCTTTCTTTGTGTTGCGATGGTCAGGGTCACAGGCCTCATTTCCCACTCGGTGAGGAGTTTCCTGAAGTGTTTCCACCAGCGAGCCAGGTTGGAGGGTGCGGTCCGGCTCGCAGCCATTCACCTCCTCTTGGCACATAGGGAGGGGGAGCTGGCGCCCTCTGGTGGGCGAGGCTGAAACAGCCGAGAGGACGCCCGTGACCACCTCACTCCCCAAGCCGCCTCTCTAGGGGCTCAAGGCGCGCGCCTTGGTGCAGGGGCCTACGTGCCTGGCTAGGGGTTTGGGCGACCGAATTTTAGGCGGAAGGCGAGGAGATGACTCACTAAGACTGTCATTTATCCATCCATCCATCCATTCATCTGTTCATTCTTTTCTGGGAAGGACTCGCGTTAGAGTAGGGGATGCCGGCTGTGGCGTTAATGCCCTTCCCTTCCTTCTCTCGCTGTCAGCCTCCTAACTTTCCGCACGTGCTTCGTTGGAGGTGCGGGAAACCGGCTGAGTACTGCGAGAAGTCGTCTCTTGGGGGATGCCTCCCAAGCAGACCGCTCTACCTCCTGCGCGTGGCCCCGCCCGGATATTAACCCCCCGTGACGCCGCTGATGGCTCCATGCATTCCGCCGCTGTTTGCCTGATGGGGCTTCCCTAGGGCCCCGGCGGCGCTGAGCGCGCTCCTGCCCGCAGTGGGGGCCCAATCCACATCTGTCTCCTTGTCCTGGAGTTTCCTGGCCCGTTCGGGTGCCAGGAGGACAGAGCTGGGGATTGTTTCTTCTCCCCCTCGCCCCGCGACTCTCCTCCCCACCCCACCCCACCCGCCCCCAGCGGACAGCAGGAGCGCTGCCAATTCACTTTGGTCCCAGAGCGCTGGGGGCTGAAGGTGCACGCCGGGGTTGCAGACCGCTGGAAGAGAGGCAGACCCGTATTGGGGGGGTCCGGGGAGAGGACTCCCGGACAGGGGCCCCAAGTGCTTAACGCAGTCTGGGCGATTTGCATTTGAACGGTGGGCAGGCAGGAGTCCGCGGCGCTTTGAACGCCGGGCGAAGGGGGCGCGCACTGGAGCTAGCCGCTGTCGGGGCTGCGGCGGCCGGTGGGTATCTGAGTGGCCCGGGCCCGGCCGGGGCCAGGGGTGAGTTTGGAAAGAGGCAGAAGGTGTGTGTTTGGGTCCCGGCGAGGGCGTGTTTGCGTTGGCGAGGAGTGTGTGTTTGTGTTTGCAGGGAGTGTGTGTGCGTCTGTGTGTGTGTGTTTGTGTTTGCGGAGTGTGGGGGCGGCCAGGGAAGGTGGCCGGGCTGTCACTCAGCGATCAGGTTGACAGGCGCTCCCTCATCAGGGCCCGGGAGCTCTGATTGCAGATTCGAGGAAACAAAATAGCAATTGTAATTACGGGGCTTTGATAAGATAAAGGAAGGAGCGAGCTGGCCGGGCGGCAAGAGAGCAAGGGAGGGAGGGAGCAGCCTGCGGGGGCCCCGGCGAACATTTGCATCTGTCAGTCACAGGGCTGTCCCCCGGCAGAACGGACGCCTGCTGCGGAGGTGTCCCCGTTGCCCGCCTCTCTGGCCTCCAGAGACCCCGACTCTGGGGCAGACGAAAGGAATCCCCCCAAAAAGGACTATTACTAGGGGTGAGAGTGCTGTTGTTGAACGGTCTCCAAGTGTAAAGGAGTTCTGCTCCTGCACAGGCCCCTTTGCAGAGGTGAAGGCACAGGTTTGAAACCCGCACAGGCCCCTTTGCAGAGGTGAAGGCACAGATTTGAAACCCTGACCTCGGCCCCTTCAAACCCCAGGATGCCCATCTCCTCTGGAGGGGTGAGGGAATGAAAATCATTGGGGTTCAGCTCAGGGCCCTCAGAGCCTTCTAGGGGCTCCAGAATCAGGGCTGAGGCTAGTCTGAGCAGGTTCTCTGCCCCACCCCCCGCCCCCACCTCTGTAGGGGAGGGACAAGTGCCCAGAGGAGTGGCTCTGACTGGGACCCCAGGGCAGGCTGGCTGCCCTGCCGAGGTCCTGCTTTCTGCTGTTCCCATCAGACTATTTTCAGAGGGCTAGCTCCCCAGTGTGGAGAAGGCCCTTCCCTTCCAGGAAGTGCCCACCCCTGCTCTCCATCTCTCCACTCATTCATTCACTCATTGATGCATACAAATAAATATTTTCAAGGGCCTACTGTGTGTGAGGCATGAGATGAAGATGGTGAGCAGTCATCCTCTCTGCCCTCTTGAAGCTTACACTCCAGTGCAGAGGTGGAGGTAGACACTCAACAAGTCACCATGCAGGCCTCTAAGACAGTGATGACACATTGAGGAGGGCAATGAAGGAAAAGAACTGTCCTGGGCTGTGAACACCTGGAGCCTGCCTGACCTCTCTCTCCCCTGATGGGCCTGCCTCCCAAGGCGTTGAGGGGAGACAGGCATGACAAACCTTTGGCAGATACAAGCGCTCAATAAATGGTGGAGCTTACAATTAATACCTATGGGGGAGGGGGTGAAGACAAGTCTCACTGGGGAAATTGCACGTGGGCTAAGGTCTAAAAGCCCAGCCAGTGTCCCCATCATTCATTCATTCATTCAACAAACAGTAACTGCAGAACAACTCTGCCCAGCTCTAGCCCATGAGCTGTAAAGTTCCAAACTAGTAAGACACGGCTCCTGGCTCTAGGTCAGTGTGGGCAAGAGCTAGCTGAATGAATAGAATCCTGGAGAAGGTAACAGGTAGGCTCAGGGAAGCTACTTCTCTGGGGAGGGATGAGAGCTTGGGACAAGCCCCGACTGTGTTTTCCTGTCTACCCATTGCTCAGTGTTTGCACTGATGGCTGGGAGTAGGAAAGGTGGGGCAGAGGAAGAGGGGAGGTAGGCAACACCTGGCTGTGCTGCTGGACAAGGGCCTGCCTGCCACTTCTGTCCTGATGGCTTCCTGGAACCATCCTACAACCTCCAGCTCTGCCCCCAGGGACATAGGGGCCAGCTGGGGGGGGGGGTGCTGTGGGTGAAGGCAGCAGCTGGGTAGGGCACCTGTGGCTCCACCCACTTATCAGAAGTACCTGTCTCGGGGCACCTCTACCCACCCAGGCTGCTTCCACAGAAGCAGCATGGCTCAGGGGTTCCAGAAGCACCTGTGGAGAAGGAACTGAGTTTGGGGCAGGAAAAAGCTTAGACAAGCCCCTACCTTCTTTGGTGCCTGCCTCCCTAGCTAGTTGACACAAAGCACAAGTTAATTCCTAGCACACAGTAGGTGTGTAAGCATCTGTTAAATTCACGAAAGATGGGCACTCAGGGGAAAAGGGCTGGGCAGCCCCAAGATAAGTCTGTTACTCAAGAAAAGAGCTACGAGTCGTTCTTTTTGCTCCCTCTGCCTGCTAGTTTGCGGGGCAGTGACTCTCTCTCAGGAACCTCTGGGCTCCCCTTTCCACACAGGACGCTGATGGGTCTTCTCAAGCTTCAGCCCAGTGTGTGTGTGTGTGTGTGTGTGTGTGTGTGTGTGTGTGTGTGTGT